CCCCCCTCCCCAAATACCCTCCCACGGTTTCCCAACCTACCGAGGGAGGCTCGTCCTTGAGCAACTACTACTTTCAACTGTCAGAAATGGTAGTTGCGTAGTGATTTTGCGGCGCCACCGACTTGGAGGGGGGGGGGTACCCCGGAACAGATGGAAGGACCAGGTCGTGGGACGAGGTCCGATCTACGAGTCCATTTCCAGGACTACATGCCACTACACTTCCTTCGCCTTCCAAAGGTTATGACTACGAGAAAATTGTAAGTATAACTCAGAAAGTGATACCCTTGCCTTCTGTCCCTTTTCCTACCTTACTACTTCGTTTTTACTTCCTCTTGGTCTTTTCTAAGTCTTCTACCCCAAGATGAAGGTGCGATGTCAGTCTCCAAGTTATCCCTCCTGGAAACCCCGGCATGGAGTACAATTATATTCTACTTCTTCCAAACGAGGTTGTTGAGTGGGATCGTTTATTGGCCAGACGCCACGACGTCGAAAACGCTAAACGGAGAGAAGGCGCTTGACGGGCAACCTTGCAGATCGTCAGCTTCGAGCCTCTTTCAGGCCTCTGAAGATGGTAACCTTCTGTAATCTGAACGTTCATATTCGTGTAGCCGCCTTTCCATGTAATTTGCCGCACTCTTTGCGCAGCACTTCATCTCTGTTGACACAATAATTGTCGATTCCTCGCCATGCTTCACTGAAAAAACTTTAGAAATGTGCTGTTTTCACTAGAACCAGAAAGGATTGATTCCACTGAACATACGCATCTGAAGGTCAGAAAAGCCTAACACGGGCCCATGTGTTCGTTTGACACCCTGCGGGATTCAGTAGGCCTGGTACAACTGTCACCAACAGCTCGCAAGACGTGTCCAGCTCACACGATCTTTGAAATCTTGGCGGATTTCCCCGCTTTCCGATCTTCAGTCATGTGCGAATTTCCGGGATCGCCTTTAGTTCCAATTCAGGTCCCGGGCGTATAGAGAAGCCTCAGGCATCGTGTTCTCGACAGCACGTGAAATAATGCTTAAAGTTCTTTCTCTGTAGAATCCAGGCCATTTGGTGGCCAAGTGAAAGAAGTTGAAGATAAGGGTGCAGGCCGCTTGGTCCACGTAGCTGCGGTGCAGCGAAAGTGGCTTGCAAGCGGCATCGTGTGCGCGGCATTCGCACCAGAATCCGATCAAATTACTGTGCAAGAGGTGCAGTGTGCCGAGCCAGCTAGCTAGTGCACAGAGCTTCGTCGTATTTGTTACATCGGGGATCCCACCGAAAGAATCCCAGAGCTTGTCGTGTTTGGTTGCTGGAGGGAAAGAGTCGTGTGCCCTTGGAAATATGTCGTTAGCTTTTCTCAGTTTTTCATTTCTTTATATCTTCTTTCACCCTCCCGCTCGACGAGCTTCAGTGGGGAAAACTCCGGAAAATTAATAGCGTTCTGGGGAAAAATTGAGGAACAATAGGAGATTGAGGAGGTGGGGTCGTGCTCAAGAAGGAAGGATTGCACGGAGGAAGGGGACTTTGCAGAATTTTTCCTTAAAGGCAGTTGGCACGATAAATCCTCCAAGACGAGCAGGACTAATACGCCTGGCAGGACGGAATTCCGCGACCCTGAGCAGGCGCTGCATAGCGCCTTTTCCAAGGAAGGTGCCCTTATAAGGGCCCTATCAAGCCACAACATTCCGACCCAAACGCCCGCCACGCCCGCCCGCCCACAAATGGACGACCGTTCCTGACGCTCTAATCGATTCATTTGCTAAGCAAATTATGAAGCGATGGTATGAAGCGGCCGTGATGCTGCATGGATATGTACACATATGCAGCCGTACCTTCGGTAGCGGTTATTGGCAAGATGCCTACGGGAAACTCGTCCAAAATTGATTACTAACACAGTGAGAACGGAGGCTCTTTTTTCGCAGGATTTTGACCGTTTCACTCCGTTCTTTCGCCATTTCCCCACTATAGCGCCCTACTAGCATTTTAGGCCGAGCACCCAATCATCGTGCCAACTGCCTTTAACTGCGAGACTTGCCCCGCCACTGAATATAGCGTCGCCGCAGTGTCGCCTACCGATCCACAGCAAATAGATAGGTATGAAGCCGGGTGTTTCTCGTGTTCTACGCAACGACCTCTCTCCCTTAATATTCCCCACGTGGTCCCTTTTCTTCTATTGAACTCTAAAGCTAGTTTGCTCAGAATGCTGATTCCCTAATTTGTTTCTAACACTGGAGATATTCAGTGCTCAGAAATGGCCCATCTAAGGCGCTGACGTAGTTGGAGATCAAGGCCCATCTACGTCAACGTCTCACTGTAGGACAGTTCCTTCTTCGCGGGTATGGCTCCCCAAGAAATTCCTGAAAACGTGCGTTCTTCAAAATGCTGGAGGACAGTACAGCAAACATCACTGCAACGCGTATATATTGCGCTCCACCGCATACTGGATTACTGTAGCCGCTAAAGCGGGAATATTTTTTGAAATTTCTACTCAACAGCTGACTAGCGGCTCGCGAGCTTTCGTTTACGTTGTTCTTCGAATCTTCTTCTAATACTTCGCTCAGAATTATGTAAAGTGATCCTTATATTACTGAGGAGTCAGCAGTTATTCTCTATACGGATATTTATGTGGTTTATACTGGAGTTCTTATATAACTATGTACTGATTCTTCTTATTCCTGGAGATTTGGTCTTTGTTTCTATTGGTTATTTACACCTTAGTTGCATTTTTATTTGTGAAACGATTCCCGCATTACGGTGTTGGTGTAGCGGCTTGTGTATCTCTGTTAGTGACAAGGTAAGTCCCTAACAATTTTCGCGTTTAGAAAGGATTGTTGGAATGAGGCAGCTTATGACTAACTCTTCAGCTCACTGCTGCTGGAGCTTATTGGTCTTTACAATGGTGATTTCCTCGAGGAACGATCAGGTATATGTAGTTCACTGTAAATGAGTTGGCTTCCTTATAGTGTTCAGTATAGATCGTATCAGTTTATACAGTCGTGATTCCTGTAAACGATAGGCGTGTAGCGGTGGCATGGCTTGAAGCGCAGCCAGATCAGACTTCTCAGCTGTGTCAGGTTCAAAATAGCATCCTCGGTGAAAAAAGCGCCCAGACTGCGCCACACTCCCTGCCACGTTACCGGCCCTATCGTTTGCAGGGATAATCACTGTATGGGCAGGGAAATTATGGCATTAACGTAGGGGAAGGGCGAGGGGGAGGGTTAGCAGGACGTCACGGTTTCTCCCAGTCTATAGGTAAGTTTTGTGATATGAACCGCAGCGCGTATGCGAATGCGCGACCGCGAACCGCAGCGCGTACGCGTTATCTGTTCATAACGCCGCGTTCCGTGTTAGTGATGAAATGATGAAGTGAAGAAATGCGGAAATGAAGAAGGCGACCTGTATTAGATAGGTATCGACTTTTCGCAGCTCGTCATTTCTGTATTTCTTCAAATCGCTACGTATCGAATGCTTTTCGTCAATTCCTCACTTGTGGTGTTCCACAGTCTCTCATCTCGTCACTATCGCAAGCTGCGAACGTCCTAGACTTTGGCATGACCACCAAACAGTCTAACCGCCAGCAAATCGTGTTGGTGTGGAGCTTTTGAGATCATAACAAGTAATGGGCGTTAGACCCAATCAGTTGCTCTTTTGTGCATGATTCATTTGATTCCAGGTTCATCTCACCTACCATCCATATTTTTCACTTCGAGAGGATTAGGCAATCCCAATTGGTTCGGACCACTATGGAAGCTCAATCCAGTCTCTGTTGTTGCCCATTTAGCTGGCAAAGTTGTGAATCGCTATTGCTGGAGTGGTAAGCCTCAGTTCATCTACGCCAACAGGATGAGTCTATTGTGGAGTTGACTTGGAACTCCTGGTCAGGTTTAAGCGTTAAGTTGAAGAGATCCCTTGGCTGATCATCGATACGCGTTCGTATGCTTAGGCCACATCCATACTTTGTGCTATATGAGAATCTGCGGGATAAAGATTAGATGCGAAGTTAGTTCAAAAGTTCAATCGTCAGTTCTGTCAGAGTGCGGATTATTCGTATTTGCACATTTTTTAAGGGGAGCCTTACTTCTCAGTCGCTGCGAGACTAGCAGTGTGCACTCCTTATATCCCTGGGAAACGTAGTAAGCGTGGGCATTTTAACATGGCACTAAAAGTGATTGCTTGGATTGAGGGCTATTGTTTGACTAGATAAGCTTCATCTTGTTCTGTATTGGACAAATACATGATTACAACTAACCAAAAATGAAAATAACCTACCCCCTTCTTGAAACCTCCCCGTCTAACGTTGTGGACGGATATCAGTAGTAAGTACCACATTCCCCAACGGCCAAGCAGGATTTCCTTCTTGTCGATTTATATAACGTATTTTAGACCATAATAACGTAATAAAAGAAAGTTGAGTAATTGCAATAGTTATCAGGTTAATTTTATAGTGTGGCCGCTCTGTGTCGGCGTATGTTGGTGGAGTTGTTTCCACGAAAACATCGTGGTCCTAATGGGAATCATTTCCTCTGTCTGGTTCACTTTGTGTGTGATGGTATTGGGCTTGTTTGCAGCAACAAGATATCAAGTTCATATTGGATTGCAAGGAATCACATTGTCACGGTTAGGCAGCACAGCTTACATTTGAGAATCATACCTTTCATCGATAAAATTTTATTTTGCCCAGGCTAGTTGGAATCGCACAGAATATTTATTCAGCCAGTGCCACGCATCGATCCATCATCCCATAGCCCCTTGATACATCAAGACAGAAGGCTCCGCTGAGGTAGGATCAGTTGAAAACAGTGCGCATTCAGTAGTATTTGTACTTCATGCAGTTTATTTATATATCTGTTGATCTGTTTGTCCCCCGGTTACTCTTTCTAGTTGGACAATGGTGGTGAAAATTGAGCAAATTAATAATGAATTATTCCTACATATCAGTCGATTGCTTCGCTGACGACGGGCTCTCCTCCTTCTCTTTAGCCCGCCTTCGCCGGGCTGGCTTGGCTTCGGCCAAGCGCGCATCAAAATAGAAAAACGGAATTCCTCAGCTCTCATTGAGCTGTTAAAATCACGCGGTACTGATTGAATAGTAGATGAGCAAATTGTTTCCATTGTTGCCGCCGCTTCGGGCGCGCCATAATGAGCTCTTAACTTTCCATTAACTTGCAATTCACTCCCCGAAGTCGTATAAATGACTGCAGATGCCAATATTCGAGGCACGTTAGTTATGTAATTTTAGACTATTATTATTATTCGTCTTTCATTCAGCTGATTAAAAGCGTGAAAAGTAAAGAAATAATCGCCGAATCACACAAAGTGCTTTGCATTATTCAGATTTTTGATTATTCGCAAAACTTACATGTTTCACGACGCGAGGATACATACGCGCCTAATCAGTTATACAGTTTCTTACTGGTGCACCCACCGTCACGTTCCACCCCGCTACATGCAGTCTTACTGAGAGTTTCAGCCTAGCCGGTGCTGTGTGCTGCGTTATGAATATGGTCACCTTCCCATTCTAACTTCCCTTATCAGATCTTATCAGCTGCTAGCAGTTCTTGTCACGCACCAATAATGTTCTAGTTCCATCCCCTGCAATCGTAACAATATCTTGGAACAACGTCATGGCCCAAGTGCTGTTCTCGTTAAAAATGGCCTCGGGGCCCGCTTCAGTCTGACGCCTCTTATCGGTCTTCATTACGCTCCTGGTATCATCCCTGCATGACAACACACAATCAATTCTCACTGTGGCCCATAATATGATCTTGGAAATCAGTCCTCCACCACGCATTACTGCGCAAGAAGGTCGCTATCGAATTTCGTCGCACAAACACAACAGACGCCACACACGTACCGGATATCAGCGGAATAAACACTATCCTATCTATGTGGCAATCTGATATCGATATATCAACCGGCCGCTTTAATGGAACATTCTTCGTTGGGTGACAGGGATTGCATACCAGGTACAATCAAGACCTGATAAGAGGCGTCAGAGTGAAGGGGCCCCCGATCCATAACGCGAGTCACAGCATTGTCCAGACGTTGATTCCAAGATATGATGCAGGGCATAGAACTAGAACATTATTGGTGCGTGACAAGAAATGCTAGCAGCTGATAGGATCTGCAACAAGGGACATCTAGATGAGTAAGGTAACGATATTCATAATGCACACCACCAGCACCCGGCTAGGCTTAACATCCAGTAAGTGAACTGTAGAGGCCGAGTGAAGGACGTGATGGGGGGGCGCCGCCGCCGCCCGCGGGGGGGGGGGGGGGGGCACGGGACTCGAATCACTCTCTGCCACTCTATGCCAGTCATTTATACGACTTCGGGGAGTGAATTGCAAGTTAATGGAAAGTTAAGCGCTCATTGTGGGCGCTGGGATGCAGGTAATGGAAACAGAATTTGCTCATCTACTATTCAATCAGTACCGCGTGATTTTAACAGCTCAATGAGTTGAGGAATTCCGTTTTTCTATTATGATGTGCGCTTGGCGAAGCCAAGCCAGCCCGGCGAAGCCGGGCTAAAGAGAAGGAGGAGAGCTCGGCGTCAGCCGTGCGATCCGACTGGTGTAGTTATAAAGCGATCAATTCCGTTAGAACTAAGTGCGTTTATCTGCACCGTCTTATGTCAGAGTCGGTATAGAAGAGCAGATTGCGCGCGGTTTGTCTCTATTCCACAATGGCAGCGCGAGCCTTACTAGCTGCTTATGCTTCACTTATGTCCTTCGTGCTACCTACGAATTTCTCTCATTGTAACGTAACACGAATACTAAATAAATGATAAATAACCATAAGATAAATCAGTCTAGTTCGTCGTGCGAGTAAATGTTAAGGACGAATGATTTTCATGCAGTTTTTCTTGTTTAGGATTATTGGTCGTCCGGTGGTCTTCTACATCTAAATCTCGCTTTCATGGAATCTGCGATATCCTACTAGGACACTATCATCACCCGTCGATGAAGTGCAATCTAATTGTTGTGCAGTGCAATCAGCGGGGATGTTGTGAATTGACGCATATCACTTTACTTCTTATTCATGTACATGTTTGATAAATAATTTGTAAACTTGTCTTTTCAATGCAATGAGCACAAGTTCTCATTTGTTCCTATATCTCATCAAAAGGGTGAAGGCAGTGTAGTTACTGTTATCGCTCGTTTCGCAGATATATATAGTAGAAGCAGAAGTTGAAGTTCAGTTTCACATGTCCGTAGTTGCGCAACATATTTGTCGTGTCGTGAAGCATTCTCCCATAAGATGTTGGTGAGACAGTTTCAGCTATGTATGGTAGTTGTTACAGTCGTTATCACATCACTGAAGTCAGCTGAAGCGTAGGTTTTGGCGCGGCGCCACGCTCTTTTATACTACTGAGTGAGCGCCCGGAGCCGCAATGGTCAACGGATGTGCTAGCGCCGCGCCAAAACCTACGCTTCAGCTGACTTCAGTGATGTGATAACGACTGTAACAACTACCATACATAGCTGAAACTGTCTCACCAACATCTTATGGGAGAATGCTTCACGACACGACAAATATGTTGCGCAACTACGGACATGTGA